TTTTTTTTTTTTTTTCATACTTTCCTTTTGATGCTTCATGTGATCGCTTGGCTTGTATAACAACTACAAGTACAAAGGGGGTTTCAACCCCCGCATTGATTTTCTGCTGTCCGTCTGCCTGTGTACTAATCTCTCTTTCTCGCATTTGCATGAATATGATTATTTAATAATATGTACCTACTTACTAAAACACCACACCGAGAGAGATCGTCTGAATTATTCGATGTACGTTTGGACGTGCAACGTCCCATTTTAACGATATAATAACCATAGTTTAATACACTGTTGCAAGCTGGAATTCTCAATCTGTCTTTTTCAAGGATATCTGATGTTTTCTCAATTGGACTAGTTTGACTCTCCTATAGTATGGATATTAATGGCTACCAAACATTCAAAAATGAATCTTTTTTTCATGAGGTACATGCAAAGGCTATTTCAAGTGAGTTTCATCCCACTTCATTCGGAATAGCCGATTACGTAATTAGTACGCAGAGCAGGTGATTTCCCCACTAGGAGTGTGAATCACCGCTTGAACGAGTTTTGTAACCTATTTTTTGACACTTGTTGTGTGTTGCAGTAAACCCTTTGTATGTCAGCTTCTATTTATGTATTGTTAATTTTGATTAGGTTAAAGTTTGATGATTCGATCAATTTATTATCTATTTCGTGCAAAAAAAAACATTTTTTTTTATTATTAACACAACAAACTGTTTTAATGATTTTATTGAAATGAGGCACATAATAAAGACTCATACAAACGACAAAATATATCTTTTACATATTTTTGACAAGTTAAGGTAAGTAAACAGTGCCATAGAGTAAGCTAATATATTTTTATGAACTGGGACGATCATATCAAGTGCGTGGATGGTAAAATTTGCGTTCCCCCGTAAAATACGACGAGGTCTCTCGAATGAAAGGGAGGCAAAAATTAAAGCAGAGAAAAATGAATTTAGTCGCCGATGCAGAGGCCAATTTCATTAATCTCTGCAGCTTTGAAAAGTGGTGGCATGGCCGTGCACTATAGTGACTTCGTTGTGTGAGTTCAGGGTTTTGCAGCCACCAACTCCCTTGATCATTTCTATTTGATTAAGACCACTTTGGGCTTGGAGAGTGAACGGGGCACTTAGTAACAGAAGTCATAGTAGTGATCGTGGATGAAACGTCACTGTGCAGATGATGATAAAAATAAGGATTGAAAATGCAGTTCATGCAGTTTAATGGAAGCTAAATCTCATTGTTGCTTATAAAATCTTTTAGTAACGTGATATATCTAGTATATTTTTTTTTATTTTTTCTCTTTCCTAAATTGTGTGCAGCGATATATTTATATATACTATTATTTTTGAATTTAGGTATTTTTTAAGACTTACAATTGTTTATAACAAATGTACTCATGGTAAAAAATAAATTTTTTTTATTATTACCTATTACACAGTACTTAACAAAATTTTTCCGATACACATAGAAAGAAATATTTTTAAAAATTTTTATATATAGTTGTAATGGTTTCAAACAACAATTTTTTCTGAATTACGTATCATCATTCATTGGTATAACATGCCAGTTTATTTTTGTCACGTTGGAGTTTGTAAAGTATAGGTTCATCTTGTAAAATTTTTTTCAATAAAACAATGCGCTACATCCAGAAAAAATAATTTTCTTTAAAGTGTTCAAAAATTCATAAAATAATGATTTCCAAGTCTGCCTTGAAGTCAATGCACAAACTTTTAATTTAAATATTAGCCATCTTCAAGTTGTAATTTAAAAAAGTTTCCCAAGTACAAAGTAGACCACTAAAGCAAAGGAAGAAACAGAATCAAATAATCTCCACGAAACAATACTTTGACCTACGTATCTTAGCACTGTTTTTAAAATAAAATAAGAATACAAAGTTTTACCTATAACCTAATAATTTAATTTTTATGTTTAAATTCAGTGATTTTAATCAGTTTAAGCATAACATTTTTGTCTATAAAATTACTAACTTCATGTATTATTATTCTTAATTTTTACATTAATTTATGTACAAAAATTTATGTATCTATTTATTAATATAGACGAGAAAAAATTTACTGTTTTTAAGAATCGGGCAAAAAGTGATGATGATAAGAGATTATAATTAACTTGGTATTTTTCTCGCTCTCCATATTATTCAATATACGAAATATTTGGTCAATTTTTTGGGGCAAATACCATTTTCACTGCAACGTTTCGTTGACTGATATGCCGACCTCTTCAGGCCTTTTCAACCCGTGAGGGAATTATTTAACATACCGAGCAAACTTCGCGCAAGTCCGGCTGGTCAATCTTAGAGAAGTTGGCTCGATATACGTTGAATAATTCCTTCACGGGTTGAAAAGGCCTGAATAGGTCGACACACCAATCGACGAAACGTTGCAGTAAAAATAGTGTGTTTAACTCAATTATTTGTCGCAAAAGATCAATCAAACATTCCATACATTGTAAAATCAATAAAACTGGAAGACGTAGCGGAAAATATTAAGAAATTCGGTAAAAATTATAAAGGGAGGTAGAGTAATTACACTCAGGGGGCATCGTTCAAGGGGTCAAGAGTAAACACTTTTGCACGATTTATTCAAAACAATCAAATCTCACGGGAGGATTAGCAAAATCAAAAGTACACATTCGCACGAACATGTCGCGTGCAAACGAACACACAAGAGAGGGAGTTCCAGGTTAAAAGTTTGCGTGGTCTGTCCGTGTCAATTGGACGTAAAATGTAAAAGGAAGAGAGTCAATGGCTCCCGGTGGATCTGCCCGATTGTCCCCTGGCGAAACGTTACGAGCTTCGTCTTGGTGAGTACAAGGATAATAGGGGGTGTGTGTGAAACGAGGGGCTTGGGGAGCACGGGAAGACGCAGCAGCTTTACTTTTTCGATGTTATCGCTAACATGGAGTCGCGCGCCCGATCACTCTTTAACTCGGACGATACGGCTTTCCCAACTTCTTGGCTATCCGAGGATAATATAGCTGTGGTAATTAGTAATCAAGCCGAGCGGTGAAATGGAAGGTTCGACGCGCAAGTTTGCGCTCTGTGTGCTTCTTGGCTCAAACTGCGTTACGACAACCTAATTTATGACAAACTGCGTCAACTCATTTGATCATTGATTATTATATACCTGTAATTTACATGGTCTGTTATATGTGTGGATTATTGAAAATTTGAGATGCATGTTTTTGAAAATATTATTTGTTTTAATATGAACACACATGACGCAAGGACTTGGAAGATCTAAGACAAAAAAAATTTGAAATATTTGTGACAGCTAATTCAAGAGGAAAACAAATAATGTTTACTGGCTCCTTATTATCGTATGTTCAATTGTCTTTAGTCACTCTTTATCAGTAGGGTTGAATCAAGAAATCTAAAATTACTTTACGATGGTTTACTTCTTGCTACTCGAAATAACCAGTACCTATATAGATACATGATGTCAAGAGTTTCAGTAATAATAATGATACCAAAGAAAATTGCGCAAAGTTCCCTCAACCATAAATCGATCGAATCATCATACAATAATTGTTGATCATGTAGGCGTATAGGCGTGTAGGCGTATAAAATTACTTCTAAAAAAAAATTTGTGCAGTAACAACTAATATTTTCTTGATTTTTGTAGTTCCTAAAGTAGAAAAAAATATGGCGATTAGTGTTGCTCAATGTTGATTAATACCGTTGATCTTGCACTGCACCCCCACCAGCATGTAAAAAAGATAAACAAAGACAAACGGTGCGCATGTCCCAAGTGTTAAACGTACAGACATGAGCACGCGTTTACAAAGTAAACTGAAATACCCATTAATCATTTATTGTTAACATTTGTAAGTAAACTGTTAAGATATTGTGCTCGATTTCTCATACTAACGTGCTTCAAATACTTTTATACAGGTGTTGTATCAAGAGTTAACAAATGGGTCTCTCGGTACGTGCTTGGAAAGCATCCAGATCCCCTCGCACACATTGTGCCCTGGAACACGCGGAGCCAATCCTTACCTAGATCCTCCTCCTCCACTACCCCCGCTTTGGCCGTTGGACCTTCGGCCGCTGCTCTCCTCGTCGTCCTCGTCCTCATCGTCGCGTGACGTGGCCAGCGAGTGGGGCACCGACGAGGGTGCGCTGCTGCCCGAGTCGACGACGATTCCCGGGCCCATCCTCCCCAAGCTGGGCACAGCGCTCCTCGAGCCCCCGTGGCGCGCGTGTCCGCCCGTAAACGGCGGTGGCGCCAGTCTTCCTCCTCTCTGGCCCTCGTGCTCCGCCCGATCCACCTGACAACCACAAGATCGATTATTCTACTAAGACCTTGTTTTTTTTTAACTTTAGCTGCTCTATAGTTTTTTTATTACATTGTCTGCGCTCGTGTATATGTACATAAAGTATATAAGTTTGCGTTTAGGTGTGGTATATTCAATCGTTAAAATCTACGTTTCTAAGTCTAAGGAATCGTCCTTTTCAAGTGTCACATTGTACCGGTGGCTTCATTTTTTAGATCAACATTGGTGTTGAGCTGATTTTGATCAGTGTATAAAGTAACTATGAGAAAATTTTGGTATTAATGGGGTTACTTGCAGGACTTAAATGTACAGTGAACACTTCAAACTTTGTCGTGGTACCCGACCGTTTGTTATTGTATTTTTGCTGTTGTATTAAACATCTACACATTCGTGCTCAATCATAAAAGTATGCAGGGACTCATGCTAATTTCTTATTTACACATGTTTTATACAATTTATATTGTCAACAGGGAGATTGTCTGACCTTTTGGAAGATAAATTTTTATATGTCATAAATTTACTTATGTTTAATTCTCGGTTTAATTTAATAATGAACCATTAAAATTTTTTTAGAATTGTTAAGATTCTGTTTTTATTAGAGAGCACTTGGTATTTTCATTACAAGATAAAAAAAAATAGCTCAAAGTCTCATGAAATAATTTTCCTACATTTCAGACACTCTTCTTGTAGACGTAAAAGAGTACTACTTGCAAAAAATTTCAATGTACATTTTCATTTTCAGAGAAATGTAGTTTTTATCCAATGTCAAACAGCACAACGACAATACGAGGAGACTATATTATAATTTTCTTACTATCATACATCATAATTACAAAAATATTGTTACGGAATGGCATCTAACTTAGTTACTAAATGAGCATAAGGTAGTGTCTCAGTGACTTTACTGTTTAGGATGTTTTTACGGAGATATTTCGAGCAACATCATGTAAAAGTAACAAACGATTAATTTAAACTTTTCAACGTTGAGGCTTGCTAATTTTGTGATGATTAATTTTTAACTAATAATCACCGTCAAGTGGACTAACATCATAAAATTGTTATGAAAACAAACATTTTTTGACAAATTGCTGTAGTTTATGATAGGAGACTAAGGCTAAATGATAACGAAACTAATATTTGCATACCCAATCACATATAGGTTTATCAATAGAGGAGCGAGAGATAACATGATTCATACGTGGAATATTTTCAGTGGTTCCATTTAAATACTCATGATTGACATCTGTATGAGTTAACTATGATACAATAGGTTAGCTATTAGGTTATTTAAGCTACTACATAATTATAGTTATCATCAGTTTGTCACAGAGTTAGCAGCTTTGCCATAGATCTGAGAATATTGACTGTTAGGAAACGTTACCTCGACTAGTTTAGAGGTAGCACTTTCAGTTGACTTGCTCCAGGTGACTTTACGTCTAAAAAAAAAAAAAAAAAAAAAAAACAGTGATCTCCTCATTATTTTAGTGATTTTGTAAATATTTTGAAATTTCAATAAGTTAAAAATAATAGCACATTTTAGCAAGTTCTAGTGCTAGAGCTTTCTGTGATAGATTTATCTACACGGATGAATGAAATGCTCATTCTGTACGATGAATATGAGTGTATGAATGTTTACTACGTTGTACACGTACACTTTCATAAATGATAAAAGTAACAAGAAAATAAGGAAATCAATTATGATATGAAACCAGCCGATGATGTAAAACAAAGCATTGAAACTGTGTCTAGGCAGGATAGCTTGGATCACCTACGCACAAGTGACAATCCAGCAAAAGGGATAGTCTACGCAATTTCGTCTAAAAGGACACATCGAAATCGATACGCGAGAACGTCATCCCCAATCAGTCACACGTAGCCTAGATCAAATTTCACGGATGTGCCCGTCAAGGCCATTAGATACGAGCTCGCCTTGCCCCACAGTGCAATACCCTATCTTGCGAAGTACACTCCAGCCAACGAAGGATCGAGTGAGCCGTCGGCTTGATAAACACCAGCCGACGTCAATCGAAAGCGACGGGTGTGCCATTACCCTAACTCTCCCCTTGCCAATTCTATTGGCATCGAAGTTTGACTTTCTGATTTGTACTCTGAGCTGTTTCGACGACTTCTGCAGGACCAACGTGTCCTAGCTTACCGTTGGTATGGCTTCGACTTTCTCCGGATTACTCGGATCAGTGAAAAACTATTTGGAGCAAAGTGCACCCGAGAAATCGGAAAAGTGGTAGCACGGACGAAATTATTAAATGAATCGTCGTTTCCTTTGGTTACCGTTTTATCAAACAATTAAAGCTATACTTTTACACGACGCTTTTAATGTCTTGTCAAAATGGGCCAACTGTGAGAATTTCTCGACACAATTCATTTTATACTACCTAAAACCCAACGTTCCAAATACCACAATAAAAATACTAGCATCCGTCAGAGGATAAAAAGAAGCGAATACCTCCGAGTGACGATTCAATTGTATTGGACCTCTGTGAAGAATTTTCCGGTGCAGAACTGACCCCCTCTCGACAAAAACTCGTGCTCATTAGCCAAACAACGTAATAGCAAAAGAAACGATGAAAAATCACGTTGTGCGGGCATAAAAAAAGTTAGCCTGGGCTACATAGAAAAATAAGTACGAGCGAACTACTTCCTCTTCGTCCCGCCCGTACGTTTGTGTTACCTGAAAAAAAAAAAAAAAAAAAAAAAGAGACACATAACTACAAGAGGCACATTTCGCATAAAACGGGAAAGAGTACAAGTGCGCGCGATACCCGGTGACGATGTTTTTCATAAAAACTTGAGCCACCAGTGGCGCACTTATTATTCCAAGTACCGACGAAACAGCGCGCCCTGCGTGCGGTGCATAAATGTATATACCTCGGAAGCTGCTCCCTGACTTCCGTCGCGTGCTGTTTTTACTGGAAAACAACGTGTTGAACAAAGAGCTTCATCCCTTATTGTGTCGCTACGTGACTCGTATAGTATGGGTTGTCCGTGAGAATGACTTTTTTGTTGCTGTCTTTCATTTTAATACTCCCGTTTTTCCTATGATGCCGGTGTTTACGCTACTTCTCTAATTTTTCACCTCCATTGAGGGCAAAGCTGTGTTGCGTTGACATTTTCTATTTGACAATGATTTCAGATTTTTTATGTTTTATTTTTAATAATTTAAAATTTTTTAAGTGCCCACTAGTCTCTGATAATATACAATCAAACAATACTATAAGATTGTAAATATTGCATTACTTTTCAGCTCAAATTCGTTTTAGTTTTTGTCTTTACCTTCAGTAATATTATCAAAGCGAATTTCATCCCCAAAGTTGTTGGCAGTTAGATTTCAAATGAGATGAAGGAGTTGCTATCACGTAACGTTATGAATTTTTTTTTGTACAAATCCAAGTGAGTTGGTTAATTTCTAGAAAATCGGGCAAATACAAGGTGATCACTAAATAATGTATGATCCATGTGACCTATACTATTTTTCTTAATGCTTATAGTTTACGATGAAAAAAAAAAAAAAAGGAAAAAAGAAATTATCCTCAAAACAGAGGATGGGGGCTGTACCTTTTGATGAATTCCATCGCAACTATCTCTGAAAAGATCGCAACATCGCTCCTTTATGCGCGAAAATTCTTTATTTTTCATAATCTAATTTTCGCTTCGCAAAATTCAATCATCGAGGGACCTCCATCGATAATCGATCAGCCAATCAATCATTTTTCCCTCCTCTCATTTCTTCTCCCCGTCAATACACTCCTAGTCCCCTCGCCAAGCCTCTCCCCTCCTTCTTCTCCCTCCATACTGCTTTTTACAAGAATCCTCTCCCCCACAAAATCTCAAAAGTTGAAAAAGAGCGCCTCGCAACGCCTCAAGAAGTAAAGTGCCCCAAACGACAGCACTTCAAATCAAACTCTCCTGTGTTCCCTTTGCCGCGAGAATACGCATATTTGCGAGCTCTTTTAAAAAATACTGGAGCACTTATTCCTCCTTTTGACTACCATTTTCAGCGGCGTGGAGCTTTTTGCGGGACTCTCGCATCTAAGGAAAGTTTTCACCAGCGTTGAATTTTTTGTTTTGCACGCCGCTTACGCTCCCCTTCGCTATTTTTCCGTCGTCTTTCCAACACATACTCACACCCACACCCACGCATCCCTTACGATGATTAATAGACTTCTTCTTCTTCTTTCGTTTCCATTGCTCGTATGTAATGCGAATCCTGGACTTGGGAAAAAAAAAAAAAAAAAAAAAACAATAAGAATATTATCCAAGAAATTCCAAATGTAATATCTTGTAACTGGGTCAGATTTATTCGACTCCGAGTAGGAGCCATGGCTGGTGTTATACGGTCTTTTGCAACTCCTCTTTTCAGCGAGTTATCGGATATCGGCGTGATTCGCATCTCATTCGCAGACGCAATTCGACCGCTTTTGGCTTTTTATCGCTTTAATACGCAATTGCTGCGGGAGATCATTTTTTTTCAAAGTGTAATACGATGTGGTACCGCGTCAGTTCCACATGGAAGAAATGAGTCCTCATTCGTGTAGGATATCGAGTGTAGCTATGAAGTTTTAGCGAGGGATTGAGTAGACCCAACGCCTGAGAGGTGAACAATATTGTAGGTTTTTTTTTTTTCATGGTCACTACTAGTAGTGGTACAAGTATGTCTGAACTCTTGAGACAACGCAATGTACCATTGGCTTTGCCGTTAAACTTTTCAGATTGAAATTTGAATTTTTCACGTTTAATAATGAAATGGTAAGGTAGAAGATAATTTTCTTTCTTCTTAAGGTAATCGAAAATAAAAATAATAAAATAAAAAATTTTTTTCCTCACGTTGATAATACATAGGAGTTTAGAAGTAGTGTTTTTATTTAACTTTCATGTGAAAAAAAAAAATCTAAAAAGAAAAAATAA